TTTTGTTCCCAAAGCCACTATTTCATCTTTTTCACATCTGTATAGTATTCCACAGATGTTTAAGCCAAGATTGTGGACCATTAGTTTAGACTACTTCATGCATTAGTAAGTACATTCCGAGGGATAAAGTTACATATAGATTCATGTTTTACCTGAGCTCTTGTGGACCAAGAATTTCTAGAGTTAAATCTTCTCCAATAAGAGGCACACAGAAGAGAAACCTTAGAAAGGAATCGAGAAGGAAAAAGTGATCAACCTGTGCCTGAAGTGCATGAGGCAAGGATCCTGAGAAGGAATTTGGATAAGTTTATCTAAGTTAGTAAGGTGAAGATGGACAAGACTTAATTAAACAATGAATGGTTTGATAATTCAGAACTTAATATTTCTGGCCTCAAAACAAACACATAGTTTTGTTTAAAAAAAATAATGATCCCCAAATCAAGTTAAAGCAATGGAAGGAGAGAGCTCAGTCCTAAAAATCATGGCTGGCTTATAGATTTTTCCAAGATGTAGGGGTCAAGATAAGATTTGTAAAATTAAGGGAACCTTCTGGAAAGGAGTAGGGGAATGAATTATATGGGATTGACTGGGTGGTAGTTGCCATGGCTCTCCAGCATTGAAAATGACATGACATTTCATTGAAGTGAAGTTACTTAGGGTATGAAATGTCCAAAGGCTGATTAGTGGCCACCTTTTGGGGGAAGAAACATTGCAGATGTTTTGGTCCTTCCAGGCATCAAAGGGCCACAATTTCTATTATACAAGTAATTATATAAGGGAGGAATAACCTGTTTCAGAAAAGGCAGTTAAATTTCTTCTGTGAAATAGCTGGGTTTAGTGACTTTAAGAGATGGCCATTTTTAGCATTCAGTTTAAGTTCTTCTATAGCAGAGGTGAATCAGGTTTTTAATTGTTCTCCAGGAAACATGATAATTTGCATTTTTCTAAATATGTGTTTATGCCATTTCTTTTAAAATTATTAACATTTTCATGTGTTTGGAAAGATTTTTTAAAATCTGTTATTTATTTATACTTTTGATCCTTTTTTCCATTCATACCATTAATGTGTGCTTATTCTCTTTTTTCTTTAAACAGGTTTTCAAAGCTCTCTCTATATACTACTCTTTTAAAAAACTAAGTTTTGATTATATTGTTTAACTCTGTTTTAAAATTCTTTGATCACTCTGTTTCTTTCATTTCTACCTATGCCTTTACTTCCTTCTTCCAGCTTTCTTCTTTTTCTGACTTGTTGGGTTGACAGTTTCTTAATTTCCAATAAGTGCATTTAAAACTATTAACTTTCACTTAAGGGTTGGGCTAGGTACTCTCCAGGTTTTGATGGATAGTGTTCTAATTATAAATTTTCGAAAATCTAGTAATTTCTTTACTTTTTTTAAATCATGAATTATTAAAAGTGGGATTGTTTCCAAGTCTATGGGCTTGCATGGTTCATATATTATGTATATTATCATTATATTGCCAGAGAATGTTCTGTATAATATCCATTCTTTTCAATTTGATGAGGTGTATTTTCTGGATATATGGGTTTTTTTTTAAAGATTTATTTTATATACAAGAGCTGGGGTACAGGCCAGAGGCATGGGAGGGTGAGACAATTCACCAGAGACAGAGTGGGGTGCAGAACAGGCAGATCTACCGAATACACTGCTGAGGGGAGCAGGGGATGAGACAGGAGAGGTCCGCCGTGCCAAGTGGCTATCTCCCTGGCGAGCCCAGAATCAAACCCTCACTGTAGAGGCTGTGGACACCTTCATAGCTCTGCACTCAACCCCCTGGGCCACTTGGAGGCCAATATATGGTTATTTGTGTAATTTTTTGCATATGAAAATAATATTTATTGTGTGAATGTAAGGTTCTTTATTCTTAAGTACATTGCACATTTGTATGTCTTAATAATTTTATCTGATTGTCTTACCTGTTTCTGAGCAGGAAAGATGTACCTCCTACCATAAGTCTGAATTTGTCAACTTAACCTTGTAATTCGGCGTGTTTTCTTTATATATAGAAGCTATTTTGGTTACAATCCTGCTTATAAGTTTGCTTTGTTTACAAGCTTGCTATATATATATATATATATATATATATATATACATATATATATATCAGATATCTCTTTGCCTCATTTAATATTTGATACTTAAAAATATCACTACCTCATCTTGATTTATTATTTTTTGTTGTAATTTTGTTATGTCTACTTTTAAACTTTGGTGTTCATTTTTTAGGTATGTCTCTTATTAGTGACATACAAGATTAAAAAAATCTAATCTGAAAAATTGTCTCATAATAGGTGTGTTCAACCATTTGAACTCCTATATCACATTTTGGGATTTATTTCAATTATACTATTTTGTGTTTTCTGTGTTATCTTGCTTTTATCCTTTCACCTAGCTGTGTTACATGCACATTGTAAACCTTAGTGGAACATTTTAGACTTTTTTCTAACATTGCTTTTGCATAAATCATTACACAAATTATTACTTTATCATGAGAAATAGAACAAGCACACCTGGTTTTCTTTTATCTATGAATATTCTTTATGTTATGTGTTCAGATTTTACATTTTTAATTTCTTTATTGCTGTGATTCTACATATTTAAGGATATTAATATCTGATTTTAAAAAAGATGTGATCTTTCCCCAGGCAAAATGTTTTGTGTTTGCTTGTCAAGGTTGTGCTTGTTTTTAGGAGTCTGTGGCTCCCCTGTAGTTGTCTTTATTTAATGGTTTGGTGAGGGGAGAGCAGAGCAAATCCAGTGATATTATGCTGCCAATAATACAAATGACACAGCTATATGATTTAAGATTGTTTTTCTTTGCATGTTCACTGTGTGGAATTTGCACGTGTGATATGAATTGTGATAAGGGAGGATGTGTAAACTTTATTTTTTAAGATTTTTTTCTTTATACAAGAACCGGATTATAGCCAGAGGCACGGGAGGGAAGAGAATTCACCAGACAGAGTGGGGAGCAGAACAGGCAGACGACCTAAAACAGTGTTGAGGGGAGCTAGGGTGAAACAGGAGAGGTCTGCTGCACGTGTGTGAATCTCCCTGGCCGCCTGGGAATCGAACCTGCACTACAGAGGCTACTGACAGACACACAATGCTGTGCTCAAGTTACTGCGCCACCATGGAGCCCTGATTTGTAAACTTTTAACACAAGACAAAAAGAAATATGGGCCAGAAAAATTGCTTACCTACACTGCTGATAATCAAGCCTCATCCAGAGCAAAACAGGAAGCCACGTTGTATCATTTGTACCTGGACCTCGAGTCCTTTCATGGATCATTTGGAGGTAACATTGTGCACTGGTTAGGGCTCTGTGGTCTGGCCCCTGTATTCATGTCCCAGCTTGGCAGTGTCTGAGGTTTGTAACCTTGGGCAAGTTAAATGGGGAAATTAGAATATCTGCCTGTAAGGAACTTAAGAAAGCGCTGGCACTTTCTGAGAACTGAGTAAAGGCTCGCTAAATGACAAAATAAACTATGGCAATATTTATATTTTAATTTATTTTTTTAAAGATTTATTCATTTATTTATACAAA